CAGAGCAGATCACAGACATATATGATCATAAATACAGTATGTTGTGTATATAGACTCATCAGAAGTGGGGATCTCACTACACATGTATGCGTGCTCATATTCTATGTATTTACACACATGCAAAACCAAAGAGAAGTGGTCACTCTTGGCGTGTATTCATATGCAAATGCAAACTCTTGGGGCATATGCACAAATGAACCACTGACACCGCAGCACACACCTGTTTGCTCAGTCACAACACACCCAGGACACGACACCCGTAGACAGCCTCCTCCAGCGCCGCCTTTCAGCGAGCAGTCGTTTCTTTTATTGGCTGCTTTGACTCCAGATGTTCCTAACTACCTAACTAGCAGTCAATTCATTTAACTAGCAGCAATAGGGAGAGACTATTCTCTCGAAAGCACTTTGCTCCACATTCCCTATTATATTACAACTGATTGCATGAAGCGGTATCATTAAAGATAAAGACTGTAAAAAAGAAAAAGGTGAGCGCATAAATGCTGTTTTTCCCAGTAAATTCCTGTCTACTTAATTAGTCTGCGAGGCTGAGCTTCAGATTTCGCTGCCCGTCCCTCACCCACCCCTCTGCTGGCTAAAAATCCCCGCTCTGCTCTTCAATTTTGCAAAGTGCAATTTTCATTATGCTCCATGCTCCATCGCAGAACGCCAAATCAGAAGCAAAACAAAAAGGCTGGTGTTGACACATTAAATGTTTGAATTAAATCTCAGGCAGCCTTTCTGAGATGCTGACAAAGACTACTTGGCTCTGCCTGTTGCCTCTCTTCTAAAGTGGCACAGTGTGTATACCAACATACTCAGAGTGCTGTGCTGCAGTGTGATTATGAAAGAATGTGTTGTGCATAGATAAAAGGCGTCCTCTCCCCGGAGCTGTTGCACTGCTCCTGAGATGACACCGCTGTCCGTCGCCTGCTCTTGTATGCGCGCGGCGTCCATGTCTAATGCAATCCCAGCGTGACTAAAAGAAAAAATCAAGCACAGTGGAGTGAGCACAGGTGTCACTGCAGCTGATTTGGCTGCACAATGTGCTCGATGTTCACCCACAAGGTGAGAAGATTAAGCTTCTTTTAAGAGTGATACGATGAGTAGAAAGGTGAAAGGTGGTGGTAAGGGTTTGCACACGATGCATCATGCAAAGCCAGACTCTTTCTCCTAAATATACCTAAAAAGTGTTTTTTTTAAAGTGAGGACAATAATGACCGTCTATACAGAATAGACATTTACAAAAGAAAACACTTGATCCAAAGCCTTTTGGAGTTGCCTACCATGAGCTCAACATATCCTGTAAGAGATTTGGATGTGAGTGATATTCAGTGGGAAGCCTTTTGTCTCTTGATGGCCTTTAGCCGCCCCTGGCTATACAAGCAGCTCCGGCTAAAACTCCCCGCCACAGAGCTCCGTCTCTCTCTTTCTTTATGACTAACTCGTTACACCAGCATCAAAGTTTAATGACAAAATAGCCCTGCGCTCATGAAACCTCTCGCATGCCTCTCAGGGGCCGCATTGTTTAAATTAACATCATTATGAGACAGGAAGGAATAAGGCTGTCACAGATGCATGATAAAATATGCTGTGATGTACACGGTTACATCTAGCGAGCAGAGAAAAAGAAAGAAAAAATAATTAGCACAAGAACCGGAAGCATCCCCAGAGCCGAGATTACACCGGTGAGCATCGCTCTTAATTAGGGTAGATCTTTAGTTAATGCTTTATTCCGTCCCCTGCTGCAGCCTTCTTCTTTTTTCTCATCACGTCTCTCCATCTTCTGTCCCTCAGTGAACACCATTCCCCCTCTCCCATCCTCACATTGCTTTCTGAGTACAAACAGCAATTTTTGGCCACTTGGAGACCACTCAGACATGAATGCGCAGTACTACATATTGATTTATTTCTGAGAAGGACTTGACCCAGGAGGGCATGCTGTTGAGAAGTGAGAGTGAAAGGATATTAGGTCAGTGTGTGTTTGCGTGTGTGTAATGCAAGAAGAACTGCCGGGGATGCCTTCTCTTCTGAACTGCTCTGACTTTGTCTCAGTAGCTGTAGCGAGACAATGAGCTGTAATGCAAAATCAAGTTCACTCTTATTGGTCTGCCTCATATATAATGTCTCATTTTTGGTTTTAGAGCTTCTGATTGGGCCTGAGCTTATTACTGAGCGAAATCTTTTAAGAAGAAGGCAAAAATGTGACACAAGAGCACGTGAAAGAGCTGTGTGTCACATCTCTCTTACTATGAGTGGTAGCTCTGTTGTTGTGGACTTTGAGGTGCATTGCTGAGTGGTGAGTCATAGCGATTGCTTCACCTCCCCACTTCTGTTTCCGCATTGTGTCAGCTAACCTGCTCCACCTGCTGGCCAAACATTTAAATCCACAGTGCGGATACAAGGATGCGTGTGCATAAACACACAAAGCTTGAAATGCGGTGAATAAAGAGAAATATGTTGCGTGTGAATGCTGCTACATTAACATCTGCTTATTACAAAATTCTGACATTTTAAGGCACGTGTGATTTTCTTCCTTTAATCAGTGGAATCGCTCAAGAAAAAGGATTGTGTCTTAGAGTTAATCACAAAAGAGGATTTTCAGTTATATTGTGGGATTGAACAGCTACGTTTAAATCAGAGTGAACAGGATGTGATGTACAAAGAAGTCGGTGCCACTTTAATCACAAGATGGTGCTGTTGATTCGGGGGAGAAGAGACCATTTGCTCTGCAGCCAAGCGTGACTGAGTTTTTAGGCGATGACAGATGGGTTTGTCACCTGTAAGGCTCTCCATCCCTTTTCCTTCTCGTAATGTCTGCCATCTCTCTACCAGATGACCCCTGTGATCTGAAAGCCGAGAGCAGCCCCAACATGGACAACGAGATAACCGCCAAGGAGCGAGGAGTCCTGGAGGAGAACAACGAGAAAGAGGAGATGGACCAGGAGAGATCTCAGGAGGAAGAGGGGGAAGAAAAGAAACTGAAAGAGGAGGAAGGTGAAGGGGAGGAGAAGAGGAAGAAGGAGCAAGAGTCGCTGACTGAGGAGCAGGAGCTGGAGGAGCTCAGGGCGCAGGTGCTGCAGCTGCTGCTGGAGCTGGAGGAGGCCAGAGAGACCTCCAACAAACATCAGGAGAGCTTCCACGAGCTGCAAGGTGAGAACTCTAGCCTTGAATACCTCTAGGACTGTATCCCTTAACTGTAATATGTATGTTCATTATTTAATACCTTTAACTATTAATTTATTAACATTAACATTAAAGCATCTCCCATAAAAATCAATGCAAATGCACTAATCATCCATCAACATGCATTAATTCTGTAACATTTTTTCTGGCATTTATAGAATATGCTGACTGCCATGATAGTCCCCGTTCTAACATTTCTATCTGTCATGTTCAGTCACAACTGGAATCGGTAACAAAAGCTGAATAAAAAGCACGTCACATTTGAACACACGTAGGTAATAAAACACAAATAGCTGGGCCTCTTTCGCCGATTTCTCTTCATAATATAATTTTTCCTTCTTTTAATTCTGGGACAGCTTTGCAAAAAGCAATGCTACACCAAGCGCTTTGCTTAGAAATTAATCTACATTTTGCAATTAACCATCATTTTTCAAATCTGCAAATTGTTTGCCAGCGCCGCTCCTAAATCGCATTTACAAAAGCAATAACCCTGGGCTTTCATTCGTTACATTTCCAACACATGCATATTCAGTGAGTGGAAAAGAAAAATAATGGAAATAGCTAAGACCAACAAGCAAAGTTGAAAAAGAAAAAAAACACCTTTCATTTAATTGCGGCTAAATTTTCTGTGAGCTAAAAACGCTACCTAACATTTTTAACTAACCTTGTTTTTGGCCTTTCCCTTGCTGTGAAAAAACCTCCATTTGTGCTGTAAGACACATGATTATAAAATTCCTGTTACAATCTCAGCCTGAATTTTCTTCAGAGTACTTTTACATAAATGTTTGCACTATTTTTTTCCCTATTTCTACACTGATCAGTAGAAAAAACCCTCTCTTAACTTTGTACCTGAGGCATCCTTGTGAAATTTTGTTAGATACATATATAGAAGGCGAACTGTTTATATGTGGTTACAGACAGTCTGTTGCTCATAGTCATTAAGAAGAGCATAAGCTCATACCTTAGAAATGATGAGCATAATGCTCAGAGACACTAGCAGTGACTAAGGCCTTGGGTATGAGGTTACACTGAGCTCAGTGTGTGTGCGTTTATGAGTGTGTGCATTTAACAGTGTGTTATTCTTAGAGACATAGCATGGTGAGCTCAGCAGTTTGTCTGGCAGCGGGAGGAACCATTCCTCAGACAACTGTGCTCACACTGCGGGAAGTTTCTAGACGGAGTGTCCTAGACCTCAACCAGAATTCAGTATTGGTCGAGACCCTCTGGGAACAGTCAGCTGTTCGGTGCGTTGGCAGCTGATGCATGCAGATGCGGTTGTCTTGGTTTCGGGTTTCTACGCCCACACCAGTAATGATGTAGCTTGATGAATGGATTAATCTGAGGGTGTTAAAAACCAAATTTAAAATGGAAAAAGTTATGAATCATATTGATAACAATCTACTAACTGTAGCTTAAACATTATGAAAATAAAAAAGTGAGATTCTACATCCATGGAAGTGGCACTGTGAGGTGATACTGAACAGCTGATGTTCAGCAAGTAGATTGTTTATGAATTTCATGAGCTTGGTGAGAACATTCTGGGAAGCGACTGGTGAGTTTGGTGAAATGGCACAATGGCCTGTTATGGAGGGCTTCCTGTGTAGTCAGCGGTTATCTGTCTTTTTTAAGAAGTCACCCTCTGCTGAGAGAGGCCCAGTGCAGATAGATGAGACCTAAGTGACCCCAACCCTCTAAGAAGAGGCCAGCCCTTATCTTAGCTTTAGCCAGTGACTGGCTTGCTCCTCATTTCAAGCTTAAAGTTGGCTTATCACAGTCTTTTCCATTTGGTATGATAGTTTAACCGAACAAAATGTCACAATGCTAAGCTCCCTGTTTAAACACAAAACATGTTATATTGTTAAAGCTAAATTGAATCAAAGACTTCTTTCAGTCACTGAACAGCACATAAGGAAAGCGAAACAGTGAAGCAGCAGGTGATCAAAAAACAGACAGACAATGTCTCAAAATCTCCAGTGACAAATGAGAGTTATCCAGCCCCAGTGATAATCACATGGACTTCAGAGACCAGCACTATCAAGCAGGAATAAGAGTCAGTAAAGAATTTCAGGGTTTAACTGAGTTTTCTGTATTACAAGGATCATTCATAATGAAGTATATTGCCAGGCAACTTACGCTATACCTACCTACCCTATTTTCAAACTTGTACTCGTTGACCTTATATAAAATTTGCAAGCAAGCCTTACCAGGTTGAATTATGTGTTTATATTTACTCTCACACCATTTAATGCAACCGGGTTGCTGCTTAAATAGTAAGGCTAAAACTGGCTTATACAGAAAAGAAGCAGCTACTCACATTTAGGCAGCGTGTGAATTCAGACGTATTTTTAGTCAGATCTTCCCGTGCACATTTTTTCCAACTTTCCTCCCGGCTTTAAATAGATTTTATTCAGGCCGTCTCACGCTTTTCCAGTCTTGCTGACCACCAAATCACTTAAAGCGCATACACATGCTAGTACAGCACTTTTCCTATCACACACACTCACACACCTCTCCTTTGGCTGCAGCAACTGTGCATTTGGCGTGTATGATGAGTTTTCTAATTTTATAGTTTGCTCTTATTTTGTAAAATATTCCTGCGTGCTGCCAGCAGACTGGTCACCTTCTGCCAATGCCTTTTTATGTGAATAGATTGGAAAACTCAGGTTTGATAGCCACCTTTTGCGTGACTGCATAGCAGGAACCCAAACGTTGGGGTATGAAAATATACCCCGGGTCTGTTGGTCTTGCTTCATATTACAGACCGCAGGTGTTGGTGATCAGGCGCCTGGAGGGGTGCCACAGATAGACCTGAAACACTCTTCCAAGCAGCAGCCTGAAGTCAGTGGGCATAACAGGCACTTTACATGTTTAGGTTCTTATGCAGGACGCAACACAACGAAGGAGGCATTTGATCTGAAATTTGATCTGTAGGTAACTCACTGCCATTAAGTACACAAGCCACAAGAAGGCTAAGGCGTCCTCCAGCAGATGGTACAGCCCCCACAGAGACCCTGATCTTAGCAACATGGAGTCACCCTGGGATTACACAAAGAGACACAAGCAATTAAGGAATGTGGCAACTTTTCTAAACACTTGGAGCAACCCACTTGTTTCCAAAAATGTATAGAAGAAGTTGTACTAATGAAAGGCGCACCAAATACTGATTTAAAAAAAACCATTTTTTACAATTAAATTGTACTTGTGAAAGTACTTTGTGTGTGTGCATGTTTTTTTACAAGTATCTTAATTCACTCTAAGTGTTTATAATTTAGCCATCGATCCATTATCTTCCATTATCTTTATTGTGGATTGGATGGAGCCTATCCCAGCTACCATAGGGCGAGAGGCCGGGTACACCCTGGACAGATCGCCAGTTTGTCGCAGGACTAACACATAGAGACATCTCACCATTCAGCTTACATTACCCCATGGGTAATTAACCCAATTAACATAAAGGAGGTTTCTTCCTGTTAAAAGGGAGTTTTTCATCCCCACTGTCACCATGTGCTTGCTCATAGGGGGTCGTCTGATTTTTGGAGTTTTATCTCTATTATTTTAGGGCCTTGACCTTAGAATTGAAAGCACCTTGAGCCAGTTGTTGTGGTTTGGTGCCATGTAAATAAAACTGAATTGAATGGACATATGATTTGATTTAAGAATACGCTCTCGCTATCTTTCTAGCTCCTCTTGCTGCTATATAAAAGCCATCAGTGAATCTGCCTGAAGTATGTGGCAGAAAACATTTGGCATGAGACATACTGATAGGGACCAAAAATAAACAGAAATTCAAAAATAGCAGCAAACCAAAAGCTGTGAAACTGGCAGCCAAAACACTCTGTGTTATTTTTCTACTGCTATCTGTTAAGTTTAGAAGAGAATTTTCCAATGAAAAGGATCATTAGGAACTCGCATACCAGAAAGAAAAATCCTGCTAAGTAATATTGATGGTCTGCTCACGTACTGTTCATTGCTTTTAACAGAAGCAGACATACAAAGCTGCTTGTGTCATCCAGTCATGCCTCAAGGTTGAACAGCTTATCAAGTTGTCATCTTTCTTCTTTTGGCCTGCTGCACTTTTTCCCTCTTATCTCACTACCCACTCCTGACTCCCCGTCTCTCCTCTTCAGGTCTGTTGGAGGATGAGCGTCTGGCAAGTGCCCATCAGGCTGAGGCATTCACACGGCAGATCCAGAATCTGCAAGGTATCAACACAATATGCCTAAAGATCTCTAAGATAACATTTTGTGTCATTTTTTCCCCTTGGATTAAAAAAATCAAAAGTTTTACATCCCTCAGTGCTTAAGGTCTCTGCAGATTTTGATCTTTAAGCTGCTAATTTATTAGCTTGACTTCTGTTTCATGCTACCACTTATGCAGATTTTTTGTTCTCAAAGACAGAAAATCAGAAGGGAAAATTTTTTTTTTTAAGTTGCGAGGTGGAGAAAACTCTCCATTCCTGAAATGACTAAACTAATAATCCCAACCTGACCCTGAATAAAAAGCATGCCAGTTACCATCAGTTACATCAGCTCCTCTTTCAAACAGCACCCGCACAGACACACACACACACAGGCGTATGCAAGTGCACACTAACCACCTACACACACAAACACACACAGGCCCACTACTGCAAAGCCTCAGGTGAGATCATACATATACACCCATACTGACACTGCAGTCTCACCCACACATCTGCCATAAAGAAAACCTAACGTTCTCCTCCTCCTCCTCTTCCTCTTCCCCCGCTTGCCACAGCCCAGCTGCGCTCTGTGCAGGAGGAGATGTACAGCCTGGAGGAGGAGAAGGAGAGCGAGCTGGCCGAGGCCCAGGAGGAGCTGCGCACGGCTCAGGAGGAGGTGCTCCTGCTCCAGCAGGCCGCTGAGGAGGCAGCGGCGGAGAGGGAGAACGACATCGCCTCACTGCAGGAAGAGCTGTGTCGCCGGCGGGCCGAACTCCAGCGCCTAAGTGAAGAAACCCAGGAGTACGAGCTGGAGATAACCACGCTCAGGGCCGAAATCAGCATGAAGAGCCAGCGCAGGGAGGCCGAGAGGAGAGAGGGTGAGGGATGAGGAAAAGGGGGGGGGGACAGATGTCAGAGAAGAAGTGACGTTGCATCACGTGTGTCTTATTAGGTTCTTAGTTACCCAAGTCATTGTAGTCTTACAAACTTGAGAAAAGAAGGCGACTGGTCATCTTTAAGTTTGTGAATTTAACCCTACTAGGCATTAAATCCACCTTTTTTCTCCATCTTAACTCATGTGACGTAGGACCTGAGAAGTAGTAGGTCAATGACCACCTCTCACAGGAACAACCCCCAGTAGGGGTTAAATACCTGGGACTCTTACTGAAGCCTCTTGGATTAGAGGTGAAAACATCTTCACAAGCTTAAAAATAAAGTTTTCTTCTTTCTTCAAGCTTTTAAGTTTAGCACAAAAAGCCTGTGATCAGTCTTTGCACGAGGATGGTCTCGTTCCCTCACAGCATGTTAGTAAACTGCAGTCAAGAACATCTGTCATTGGCGGGTTCAGTAAATGCTACAAAATAGGATTGCTGGGAGTTGAAAAGGGAGTGACATGTGTGTGTATATTCAGAATACCAGGGACATGAGGTCACGACAGGGAGGGACCCACACTTCCAGCGCATGATGTCACCGCTGGGGTCTGGAGCTGGGTGGGACCGAGGGTGGGGGGAACATCACCCAAAATGCACAAACATTATTGGTGGAAATGGCTTTTCTGCTTCAGTTCTTGCACTTACTAAAACATTTGTAAGCCTTAAAGGAACTGCCAGTCGGATTTTGATACCAGTGAGACAGAGCTGGCATGGATGTGTCATCCTGCTGCCAATCCAGGCTAAGCTAACCAGCTGCTGGCTGTCGCTTCATCTTCAGCAGACAGATATGAGATTGTTCCAAAGCTTCTCGTGCTCTGACAAGAGAGCGGATGACTAAAATTTACGTTTTACACTGTCTGTACTATAAAGATGTGTAGGAGTATACAATGTCGTTTTAAACATCCTCATCTGTGCCCTTCTTGCTCCGACAGGTGACGTCGACCTGCTAAAGGAGGAGTGCCGTATGCTGAGGGAGGAGTGTCAGACCCTGAAGGAGGACAACAGACGGCTCTCCGAGAGGCTGCAGCTGCTGCAAAGACAGAGGACATGGTGAGAGGTCAACGACTGCTGGCTCGTCAGCTGTGCTCACTGGATCAGCTGGAGGGGATACCCTCTGGTATCACTAGCTCCCATCACAGCACCGACCACCTGTTTAAGCACTTCAGTAAAGTTGTAGCATGATATGAGGGATTACACATAAGCAATTAAGAATTAAGAATGCCTTTGAATTGTAAGGTTGTTCCATATGATGAGCATTTGCCAATATTGTCTGGCCATTTACTGGGAAATTGAAAAGAATAGTTGTTACTGTGCTATAGGGTGTAAATATTTTAACTTCAGGTTTAAATGTATGTGTAGCTGACAAGCAGGTTGACAAAACAGTGTCACCATTTGATATCAACATTTCTTCTAAGGGTTAACACATCCTCCCATCCTCCCGTTTTTACAATAAGAAATAAAAAAAATGGTAGAAGCCGGTTAATTTGGAGCCGCTTTTTGATCTCGCAGCTCTAGCGTCTACCTGTCGCTGAAAGAGGAAGACGCGGGGGAGGGCACAGAGGGAAAGGAGATGGAGACCGGCTCAGATGAGGTCATGACAGAGAGCTACATGACCATGGCCCAGTCTGAGAACTGTCGTCTGGTGGACGCCTCCATCCAGAAGAACATCTCATTCGATGGGAAGCCGATGACGCCGACGAGCTGGACCGGAGGGATCGGGGAGATCTTCTCGCTGAGAGACCAGCTGAAACAGGCTGAGGAGAAGGCCTCACAAGTTCAGAGAGAGGTACAGTGCCCTGCTTTGCTAGAAAGTGGCACAGATTTGGTACACGTTATTCTTCTGATTCTTTTGGCCTCTGTGTCCTCCAGTGTGAGGGTCTGAAGATGGAGCTGCAGGAGTTGCAGGTACTGTATGACAGCAGTCAGAGGGAGAGGGCAGAGCTGGAGGAGGAGCTGCAGCGCTGCAAGGCAGAGCTGGAGAAGCTGTCGGGGGGGACGCAGGTGAGGAACCGCAGAGCTCAAGCCCATCACGGGACAAACTATAATAAAAGTATAGCGCCGGCATCAGCAGAGCAACTGATTGAAAAGCTGCACAGCTTTCTGCGATTACTAATAATATATTTAGTAGATATTTATCATCGCTTTCTGAACTTGTTTTTAAATTATATGAATTTATTCTAAAAGCAATATTCCAGTTACACAATGAAGAAAATGTAAAGTTGTTTTTGTTGTTGTTGTTTGCAGTCACACTATCTACTAACACATAACGAACCTCACATTGCTCCTCACTGTATCCTGTGTCTGTTGAGCCCACTTTTTTATGTGTCCCATACTGCAGCGATACATGTGTTGATATGAGCTGACCTGGCCTGTCAGCCCATATCAGTATTTACTGTGTGCTTTGGGCTGGGGAACGTTCCCCCCACTGTGTCTGTGTCCTGACTGCTCAGTTAGAGCAATGCTTAAATACTGTTGTTTGACAAAAACACAAAATCTCTAATAAAACGCATTCAGGCGCCTTGGAGCTAATGCACTTTATACCACTGAAGCATATAAGCAGACTTGAGATCTTTTTAAAACAGTAAATGTAATTAAGCTGCTTTTTTTTTCTTGTTTAGACTTTTTATTTAATACCAGACTGGTTTCTCTTCCTTCTAATAAAGTTACATATGAAAAATCTAAATGAAATGAAATGAAAGTGAACACAATTCATGCCATATTCATTTAAAGCGCGACTATTCTTACATAATAAGTACTTGAAAGCATCCAGCATGGTTTGTACATTGAACTATGAGTTATAACTTCTCAGTTCAATGTATTTTTCATGACCTCTCAGCCTTCCAGGTGCCACTGAATGAAAGCATAGGTTGTGATTTCCATTGCAAAGCTCCCGAGGAATTAGAATGCACTGACGGTAGAACAGTCTGTGCTTTCACCTGCATTGCCATGCAAAGACAGGCGCTACTCTGAAAGTCGAGTATTATCAAGTTTTGAAAAGAGCGCATAAAAACTCAGTGAAAAATCTAAACAAAACCTCAGAATTTGGATCATATTCTTGCGATGGTTGAAATCATCCAGTGAAAACAGAACTGTGTTTTGTCTGCAACAGCCATGATGAGATGTCTCCACATCGTGTCAAACTGTCTACCCGTGCCTGTCTCTGATGCTGTCCTTGTTCTCTGAATGTCCATGACCTCTCAGCCTGTTTGACGACAAATTTCTTACGAGTTACGAACAATTTAACTTCAAAATGAGGATAGAGAGACTAATACACCTTCATATGCTAAGTCCATCCTGCGTGCCTTTCCTTCTTTTTCTTTTCTTTTGCTAGCATGATATCACACGCAGCCAGGAAATGCCACACAGGACTGCTCACGCATACTCACACTGAGTTGATGTTTATGTCACCGTAAAGTTATGCATTGTTTGTTTAATAGGAAATATTAAATCACTCCATCACAGTCCTTCCCCCCGTATATCACAGCCACAGGCCATTTCACACTTAGAATTGAGTGATTTGTGTAGTGTAGTGGTGGTCCATTTGTGCCGTTGTCACACATCCTTATCTGTTTGTTTTATTATTTGGCTACCTCGCTCCATCATTCATTCATCCCCTTCATTGCCATGGTCCTTGTGTTTGTTTCTGTTCCCTCCTCAGAGATTCATCCATCCGTCTGAGCACGCTGTTCTCTCCATCCCCTTCATAGGAATGATTGTAATTGTGGCTGTGGTCTGGTGCTGGTTGTCGGAGCTGGCGTCCCAGAGAGCAAGGTATGGGAGGAGCTTATATCTGTCTGAAGCGTAATGCTACTTATGGTTCTCGCAAAATATGCTATGGATTAGTTCACCTAAATTACACAAAAAGATTTCAATAATATGCTAAACGAAAGAAAAACAAGAGCACTCAGAGAGCGTAATCCCCCCCTCCCCCAGAATGCAAGGGCTATACTAAAACTTTAAGGTTTTATGATGTCTTATTACAACATGCTGACATCAGCCTGCTTTTATAACAACAACTCTGACGTTTGACCTCAGACAAGGAAGCATTACATATTAAAATTGTGCATTTTATTATCTTTACCCAGATGATTGGAGCAGAACTGGCTGAAATCTTTGGCTTTTAAGCTGTAAAAAATTTTTTAAGATATATTCTTGCGGCGTGTCATTTGCAAAACATTAAGCCGTCATTGAAAAATGAAACACGTTGTACAGCTCTCTCCATGCCCTTTCATATGATATCTTACTCATTATAGTTTCATGAAATTTCTTTCAAGGTCAGCTTTGAAATCCTGGAGTTTCAAGGTGTTTAGCTGGCTCGCTGTGAGCTGTCTGGAGATGGGAGGGTTGCACGTCTAATTTGCTGACAATACGTAATTGGGTCAATAATAAATAAGCAGGTTTTTATGTGTTAGAGTCCTGACTTCAGCTGAGAGAAGGAAGAGGAAGAGCAAGATGTGGAAATAAGGGAGGAGAAAGTGCAATGGTGGAGGAGGAAAAAGACATAATGAAAATGAGGTGATAAAAATAAACATGTACAAATGTTAAATGGTCATGTGTAAATATATATATTTGGATATTTGGGATCTTGAAGTAAAACGAACTTGCAAGGAGTACTACATAAAAAGTGATTAGGTGAAATGGCGCTGTCTGTCTTAGCCACTGTACTAAAGATGGCAGGGCTCGAAAAACTACTTAAAACTACTCTCCTTTATTCATAAATTGTGTAATATAACAACAGTCCACGGAATGATAGTGCGTGGCTAATAAACTACACAGCTGACGAATGATCTTTGGAGGTATCAAAGATGAAATTTAAAGAATACAAGCATGTCCACACCTCGTTATGTTGGGAATCAAGTGTTTTCAGTTGCATTGCAAAGCAAATCGAGCAATGCAGTCTGGCTTTACAAACATTTGTGAAAAAATGGGCCAATCTAAAGAGCGTCTACTGTTAGATATGTAAAGTTACAGAGCAGGGTCAACAACACTCTGCTGACTCAATAACTGCAGAGCTCCAAACCTCCTCTGGCATTAATGTCAGCACATAAACTGCACCAGGAGCTTCGTGGGATGGGTTTCCATGGCCGAGCAGCTCCTGTAGATGTAAAGTGTTGATAGCCTAGTGCTTTTAGTCCATACAGTCAGAAGTAAATATGTTTTTCTGTTATTTTGGTGAACTAATCCTTTATTTGTCAGGAATCTTTGTGTTTAGTTGTTATGGGAGAATATAAACTGAAGAAATTCTAAATACGGCCTTTAAAATCTGAAACACACTGAAAAACAGATAATATGAACCACTGTGGACCATTTATGAAAGGTCAACATGGGACGGGTGGGCAGTTTGGCAAAACTGAAAAACAAGAAATCTTTGAGCTTCACTGAATGAATAATGTAAAGAAAAAGCTCAACCATTTTATTGGGAAATATGATTTACCGCTTTCTTGCCAAGATTTAAATGAGAAGATTGTTACCATTTATTTGTGTCAAATGTGAAACTACAGCCAAATGATATTTAGCTTAAATTAGTATTTATTTTAAAATGTGGTTTGTAAATAGTGAGCTTTGGAGGTGTGAGTTGGTGTTTCCCTAACCAATTACCCCCTGATTTGTTTGCACTGACATTAAATCAGTAACAATCTTCTCATCTCAATCTCCTTTTTTTTTTTTCATCTCAATCTCTGAGAGAAGCAATTGCGCCCATTTCCCTAAACGTGGAACTATTCTTTCTATAAGACATCTAGTTTGTATCTATTGGTGACAGTTAACCTCTGCTGACTCCTGACACTCTTCTTTTTGTGTCTTCCCTCAGGGGAGTGAGGTAGGTTGGAGCTCCATTGTGACTATCACTGCAGCCACAGCTGTGCTTCTAGTGATGACTAGCTTATTGAGAGCCCTCGTCCGATTCTGACTGGATGGGTAACAACCGCACGGGACGAACGTCTGCTTCAGACCAGCCCTCACGTCTCCTGCCATGTCTATATCGAGTCACCCGGAATGATCTAAATGTGATAGAAGTGACAACTTTGTAGTAGAAACACCTACGGGGAAACCTTTATCTCTAACGTGACGGTACTACATGCACGCACAGGCTGAGAAAGATGCGCCCGGCATCACTCAAGGCTGAAGACGACAATGAGCTGACCTGCAGACAGTGCACACAAGGACTGTCCTTTAAATGTATGCTAGTGCTGTGTCATTCCTCTTCTGTGTCAGTGAATATGATTTTTTTTTCTCTTTTAACTATGTGACAAATTATGTTTTTCAGTATGATGTACTAAATTGGTTTTAGTTTATTTAACCATTATTTATTTATTTACTATTTAAACTGTTGTTAATAGGTGTCTCTGATCATAAGGACAAGCATTTGATTTGGAGTAATGCGCTGAAACCCCCAAAAGTGTACATAGCAGAAAGAATTGTTAACAATCAGTTACTGACCCCCCACCCACCCGCCAAAAAACAATGCAATATATGCATGAACAAAAGTTAACAAGTCTTCATGAATTAGCAGTCTATCATATCTATAATTGTGTTATTTTGCCCTTAAGTTAGATATTAGACAGCCTTCATTACAAAGTCTGCAAGCATGAGAAGGCTGATTGTGGTCAGCCCCTCTTCACATTCCCCTTAATTTATCAATGAACCAACACACCAGGAGGTTAATGCAGAGCCACTTCACTTTGAAATACCCCAACAATATGATTTCTTGTTATGTACCAACATAATAAAGCAGCGTTAGGAGCAAATCCTGGTGGGGAGAGTCTATGTAGTCATTGTTTCGTATACTTTAAGCTAATGCTAATGTCATTGTGAAGGAATTCATGTTCGTTTTCCTCTGTAAGGCTTTAAACTGGCTTTTGAGTGTTTTGTTAGTGATTTTTTTAGGCGACTGCAGATTGTTCAAGGTACACAGTGTGAGAATGTTGACCTTCAGCTTTACCTACTACATGCTTTATGGGGGGAAAAACCCCTGCAGGTCTGATTACTACCAGTTGATATCCAGATATTGACAGATTATAGCACTGATGCAGTGAAATGAGCGAGCACAGCTATTTCCGAAGGCATTACAGACGCAGTTATGGGTCCAAAATATGTAAATAAGAAAGTGTCAGAACGAGTTAGGCTAAGCATCAGTTAGGAAAAACTTATGTATCTATGGCAGGACTCTGTTTACATTTGTGATATATGTTATTTTCTTGGTGAAAAATCTTTTAGAGCTGAAAACGGCATGCTAGAAAAACATAGAAGCACAAATATATAATTTATGTTGTTTATGTGGATTCTTTGTATTTCATGTATATAGATGTGACATATAGTACTATGGGAGAGATATTTCTTAAATCCATTTGTACTAGCTTTGTAGAAAGTCTACTCTATTTTGAAAGAGCATCGTATATTTGATAGCCGAAATATATGTCATTTTAATGTTCATTATTTATGGTGATGTCATTCAGGAGGATTGATAGCATCGCTTACCATTTTCAGTACCTCCGTGTCTAGAGGTGGTGTAGCCGTTGCATGCGTTTAGATTGCAGTTGACCGTAGGTGCCAGAAAGTGCAACTCTTGTTTCTTAAAACCTGTTGAGTTTCTGAAACGTATTGGAAGTTTTTTCTGAAGCCTCAACCTTCATTAGCAATGCCTGACAAGTTTTATTTCTGCATATGCACAAGAAAACAGAAAATGTGCCGCTGGACTGCAAATGTTGTCAGTGTCTGTTGGATCAATCGTACAATAGAAATGGAATTCCCATTACTTGCATTAGTATAGAATACTGTCTGATTTGATTCATGTGTCACTCACTCTGAGTTTCCTTCATGAATACTGACTTTTATCATAGTTTCACGAGCTTCTGTAACTGCAGTGTTTCTCGGCTTACTGCTTTACATTTGGATAGCATTGTTGTTTTCAATATAGTTGTGGCTATTTTGTTACACGGAGGTCTATTTTGCACTGTACACGACTTGAGAAAATAAATATACCCGACCCACATGATGTCTGAGAGCTTTATTTTTTCCTGGGTGGTGGCCTCACTCGGCATCAGTCACAAGGTATAAAGGTCTTACGGAATCCCATTCATGAAAACATAAGTCCAGCCTGAGTAAGAGCAGTCTCCCTGGTGGCGTCACATTACATGGGTTGTATGGATATTAATAAACTTCCTTCCAACGGCGTGACATAAGCTGACAGACATGGCTTCCTTACAGATGGCACAGAGGTTACACTCATGACTCCACTGCCACAGCTCATGGTTTACTGAGTTTGAGTGCATCCAATTATCTAAAAGTAGCCTACATGTGCAGCTCTATAGAAAACTAGTGCCGGTAAAACCCTTCACTGCACGGCTGTCTTTCACTTTTGGTTCACATGAAATTACTTTTCCAAGTTTCAAAATATTTCACTTCGGATTGTGAACCAGGTTTCTATTTTGCTCTGGCTCAGAGTTAGGGCTAAAGAAGTGTCAGATCCAGCAAAATTTAATCAGCTGGCCTTTGGCCTCAGGCCTATCTGTCCTGCAAATTCACCCCAAATCCCTTATTAAATATTTAATATATTCACCTGACAGACTAACAGGGAAAAGCTAATTAAAAAAGGTAGACCGCTGACTGTGATAGCAGCCATGGGCAATCTGGTGGAGATATAATGCCAACTCAACAGAGTCCAGGTCAACAGATCTTGCTCCGTGTTACGGTTCTTGCTTGAGTTTAGTTATTCACCATTCTTTATAGTTCCTTATAAAGATGGGAGCTGGAGTTGAACAAAAATAAGACACTTTATACCAACAAATTAAAGAAATACCATTGTAGAATTTGAATATTTGCAATGTTTTTAGTGATTAAAATGTAGAATAGTGCTCTGTTTTTTCTGTAAATTCTGATTCATTATTTAATTGTATTTTAAAAAATTATTATATTATGATTTGATTTTGTGTAAATATTCAGTGATGTTGTAATTTGTGCGAATATATATAATTGTTTTTTTTTTTTTTAAAGATTGTAGTTGAAGTATCAGTTCACTGTGCCTGTGTAAAACCCACTGACACAACTTTTCTGGACAATATTCTGGATGAAGCTTAAAAGAATGTGCATTTCTCCTGCAGTGCTATGGTCCACCATAGATTTAGCAGAGTAAAGTAACACTCCAGTATCTCAGGGACACCTTGCTTCCATCATAAAGGAGAGAAATCCTCTGTTCAGAAAGAAACAAACTCACTTTGGTGTGCTTTGTGGTCAGCCCTGAGAGGTCCTGACAGGCTCTGACTCTTTCAGCTGCAGGAAAATGTCAAATTTACAGTAACTTCACAACATATGTCATTTATATGAAGCGCTGGAACACGTCGTTGTTGAGTGGAACAACAGTGTTAAAAGGTATCTTACTAGCAGGTGGGAGATCACCATGGGCACCCCGTGCTGTGTCCATACTGAGTATCTTGTAAATGCCATCTGCATGTGTCACAGTTATACTTACCTCCCACTACTTCATCAAGGCTGGTGCTGGCATCTGGTGTCACTGCCATGTCAGTGCTGAGTCACAGCACCACCACAATCCTTGAAGCCGCTGCAAGCCTGGTGTTTATTCTGACCTACTCATTTAGAATACAGATAATCAATTTTTCAGTGAGCTGATGCTGTCCACACACACACTCCCACTCTCTCTCACAAACACACTGTTCATCAGGTGCTGATATCGTGCTGTCACTGATCAGAGCTGGAGATGAAACTCTACTCATGTAGCCTGGATAACCTTGACCCACAAAGGGGTTGGCTTTTAAAATTTGAAATTTGAAAGCTGAGAGAGACAATAACTCAAAACCATCATCTCACGAGCTTTTCTGAGCTTTGCTTGCCTGCACACAGATGTATTTCACTCAGTGGTGGCAGATAGCAGTCAACCCCACGTAATGCAGCGACTTCATCTTCACCTCTGTGACCTCATCCTTTAAGATGTTTTGTCCCAGGCCACAATGAGGGACTTTCAGGATGTAAAGTCCTACTTTTCTGTATCGTTAGAAAAAAAAGAGCCATTGAGACACTCAGGGCACGTTTCATTTTCTTTTCTTAGTTCAGTGGTTCAGCCACTTGGACCCCGAGCTGCATAACACATTCACAACAATCGGCAAGCCCCAGCCGCCCCCCCTCAACAGCCCAAATAGGAGCGCCTAAAAATAAGCAGCATGCCACAACTGTTGCGCTGCCTAATGTCTGACCAATCACTGGCTCATCTTCCCCGTAAACCGACTCCCGTTATCCGCGTGGATTAGCAAATAGACTATGATCACAGACGCTGGGTGACGTGGCCCGGGGGGTCCTTTATAAACCCATCTCTCTCCTCACCCGACTTTCAAGTTAAAACAGAGGGAACTCTTAACGGTGCTGTTCCAGCTCACCTGCCACGAAACTTGAAAAAGCGACATTCTTTCCCCCCGTGGGCCATATTAAAAGGGACGACTTATCAGGAGGGTGCCAATTAAAAAACAAAACAGACGACCAGCTGTCTTGCACGTTGTGATTCGGATCATTTAATCCATCACTGACACCAGAGGCTTCTTCGCACGTACATCCGAAAAATCTCTAAGCTGCTTTTTTTTTGGTAACTCATCCGAGTTTGAACTTTCCTCCGCGAGAGCGCGCTTGCCACCGAGCCGCTAAAGTTTTTTTCTTTTTTTGCGCACAATTCAACACACAAGTGTCACCGAGGTATAAAAGTGGACGCGGAAAAAGCCATCATGATGAGCACCAACTACGGCGACGACCAGCTGCCCCCGCAGTACTACCAGGCCACTGATTTCGGGGAAGAGGAGGAGGACGAGATGCCCGCCACGGAGAAGGACTTGGCCGAGGACGCGCCGTGGAAGAAGATCCAGCAGAACACCTTCACCAGGTGGTGCAACGAGCACCTCAAGTGCGTTAACAAGACCGTCACCGACTTGCAGAAGGATTTTAGTGATGGGCTGAAGCTCATTTCGCTCTTGGAAGTTTTGAGCCAGAAGAAAATGTACAGAAAGCACCACAACAGACCCAACTTCCGTCAGATGAAACTGGAAAATGTTTCTGTGGCACTAGAGTTCCTGGACAGAGAGCATATCAAACTGGTCTCAATAGGTAAGCCAGCCTTGGGCTCTATTAGCTGTTTGGAAAGTTCACTGTTGTCCTAAAACCTTAACAGGCCACTATTACTTAGGAACAAGTTATGAAAAAGAAATTTATGTCGCCTAGATCCTAAAACATACAGAGGACCATGGCAAACACACTCTATTTTGGTATGTTATCAGGCCAGGTGTCAGTCAGCAATAACATGGCTTTTGCAGGCCCCTTGAAGGCAGTGCTGAGAGAGGTCACCAGCTCACTGGAAAATTATTGTGGAGGTGCCACTGAGGTCATTAACTTGTGCCAGGGCCAAAACCCGGCGCCTCAACACTGTTACTTTTGCTTACTCGCACTGCAGCAGTGTGGTAAATTACGGGCTGGAAATTCAGTAGGACTGCGCTAATGAGAATGACACACTTCATACATGCGGACAGCAGCTACACACACTGACACACAGGCAGCTGTCTCCGTCAGGTCAAGGTTCAGAAAGAACTTACAGAGGCTCTCTATTGATAGCCAATTTCTATCCAGAGCCATCAGCAACGTATGTGAGGTGAGGATTAACTGTGGTGGGATTTGAGGATCAGACAGTGCTGCAGAGAGCTGAAGGTACAATAAATTGTTGTGGATTTGTGGATGTTTTTGTCACGTCGACAGGGTCATAATAGAAAGACTTTTCTCCAGCAGAGTGAACAGAAAGCCACCTCTTAACGATATTTAACAAACAGGGAGGAGAATTTTAGGTCTAAATGAAAACTAAGATGACATATGGCTTCACCATACTGACAGTAGACAACCCTGTGTTTTATAAATGAGAGTATTTATTACATTTCTGTGCTCTGGTGTCTAATGATCCTTGCCACACACTTGAGTGAAATTCCTGGCATATCTGAAGCTTTGGCCGTTGGACTGTGAAGGCCACAGTGTGTCCAAATGAAAGAGCACTGCGGGTGTGCGTGATGACACCGGGGGAAAACACTCATCTCTCAAATCACAGGAGTTCTGTTCATCACAGGGAAGAACAGGCCACAATCACAGGCATTACCTCAAAGTCTAGCAGAGTACATGTCCTGAATATTGTGTCTAGGAGTTAATATGGTGGTGTGTGTCTGGCACAGTTGTCGCAGCTGTACAGACACACTTTAGGTCAGACTGCTTTGACAGAAACAGGGCGTGATAATAACAGCCCTGGCATTTTGCTTCCTAGCACCATCTCCCTTCATGCAGCGCTATGGGGTTACTGCAGCCGTCTCGAGATAATGTCTCAGCCTCATTACAGTGACCCAGAGACACAAAGAAAAATATAAAATAACATAAAAAAACAAATCACCTCGGGCTTAGATGCTCATGTGTCACCATGTGTAACTAGATGCCATTTGATGGCTGTCTCTTTGACCACGCTGGTGCCGGACACAGCGGGATCAAAACCACACTGTGCCACATTGTGCCACCTGCTTCTGTCAGTCAGACAGCGACACATCAAACACTGCCTTCTGACAGGGGGTGGGGAGGGGGGGTGCAGATCTATGAAAAGTTAGAAGAGTCTCAATAAAACGCTCTTGTGATAAACAACTGGCATCAGAGGCGCCTCGTTATTAAAGCCTCGGTGAATTAAGTGGGGTGTATCAAATGAGATTAGTCGATTACACATTAAAGTCCTGCCTCTCGTCGGAGGTTATTTGGCTTAAATGGCTGAAGTTAGAAAATTAGAGTGGATGTTATCGGGAGCTATTTGACAAACTTTCCCGTCATGAACTTCAGGAAATGAGCCGCACGCTAACTGTCAATGAATCTAATCTCCATCTATTTGATTTATCGCACTCTCGCGCAACAAGTTCAGGAGGTAATTGAAATCCAAGTGGTATTTATGCAGAGAGGGATCCGTTTCCACATATCCTCAGCTGTCACTATCTTCAGACTACCATTGTGACTGGATGACAGATTGTCAGGGGTCCTCAGCCAGACAGCTGTCTGAGAGAAAGGGACTTGGGGGGTGGGGTGAGTGGTGGGGGACAGGGAAGAGCATTAGATTCTTGTCTTCTCAGCAGTCAATCATCATTGTTTATATTTTTACCCAGAATAGCCTGGTCAACTCTGCAGAATGCCAGGGGAGCACTATTTGATAGAGTACACTTATGCTTACATCTTACTATCCTAAAATCTATCTAGTATCTTATCAGGATGGCCCATAAGCATGAAAACAGAGATTGAAAGTTTATCGTGTTGATTTTTTTTAGCAAGTTCTAAATCCTCATGAACTCCGCTGTCACTGTTGTCCAACTACAGATAGCAAAGCCATTGTGGATGGGAATCTAAAGCTAATCCTGGGTCTTATCTGGACTCTCATCCTCCACTACTCCATCTCCATGCCCATGTGGGATGACGAGGACGACGAGGAGGTCAAAAAGCTGACCCCGAAGCAGCGCTTGTTGGGTTGGATACAGAACAAGGTGCCTCAGCTGCCAATCAACAATTTCAACCGTGACTGGCGGGATGGCAAAGCCCTGGGAGCTCTGGTTGACAACTGTGCCCCTGGTAAGAAGCTTGTAGTGGCATCGACTGACTCTACAGGTCAGGTCGTGCAAGCGCTGAGTCAGAATATGCACAGCGTCTGTTGACAGGCTTGTTGCGTGGCAGTTTTTCTTAGTGGAATTTGAGGTCGGGCATGTGCCTATTTGAAACGCTATCACTTCCTCAGGAGAATTCGTCTCCTCATTTAGAAATCGGGGCCTGGTTTCTCTTACTCTTTCTCTGTCTCACACTCACACACACACACACACACAAACACGCATCTCGTTTCAGATTCAGACGTCAGCCAGCGTAATCTGTCTCTGGAGAACAGGTAGTGTCATGGGGTTGCAGAGAGGTTGCTGATGACCGGAGGATGTCCCCGCCAGCTGTCCCACAGTCACTGAAGCCTTCAACCTCACTGTATCAGGCCCTGAGGCCCAGGCCCAGCTTTAGTGTTTATAGCTTTGCTGCTACACAACACCCCCAAATTTGGGCATCATTCCTCCTCTTCTGTCAAGGGGGATGCTTGGCCCTGCATCAAAATGCAGAATAATCTGTCACAGGGAGGTGCCTAAGCCACAGATCCAAAGACCACAAGGCCGCAATGTGAATCTCTGCCAGTTAAGGCTTCTGTGTCCAGCAATGAACACTAGAGAACCCACTTCTAGCTGTGCTTTACAGAGCGAAAGGTGGAGGAGTAGCAAGAGAAGTGTACAACACCATGTTTAACTGTGTTTACATGAGCCATTGATCTGGGGAGACGCATCTTTCAAACACTGTGCTGCAACACTGACCATACAAGGTCCTGTCAGCGAAATACAGCAGGGTAGCTGATGAAACTAGCTCTGTTCTGAAAAACCAAAACACAGAGGCTCTGCTTCCACTTCACGTCCCAAAGTACAAGGAGCTGGTTCATTAGTTACCTTGACCTTGAACAACAGGATATCCTGTTTGACATGCAGTTAGCTACAGTTTCTGTTACTGTCCAGTTTTCATACAACTAAAGCATAGATGCTCTTTTCTCCTTTGGTGTTAAAATGGCCTTTACGGCATGCCTTCAAAGCATCAAGCGTAGCATGGTGGCAGGAACTCCCTGACATCTCTCACGTGACATTTTTATAAAGGTTTATTTTGCGTTGTGCTGAAAAAAACTTGCTTTTAGACACATGTAAACTCAACCCTGTTAATACAATAGTTCTTTGTCCATACTAATTGGATAATGGTATTCTGTGGTGTGCCTGCGTGGGCCTTTTGAGTGAGTGGCCACTCCATTGCCAACACTAATCCAATTTAGGCATTAGCGGCACAGAGCAGGCTAGCCACTGCGTCTGTCGATGCTGTTTCTTTTGAACAGTCCTGAGAGATTGTAGAGCAGAAGTGCGGGTAAGGTCAGTCGCTGTTGTAGTTAGAGGTGTTGGAGAGATAGTAGTGACAACCCAAATGGCCCTATTATACCATGTGCAGTTTAACACCGCCTACGTCAGTCATTCCAGAGCTAAATTGCCTTTTTGCGTCCTGTCAGGTTTGTGTCCGGATTGGGCAGACTGGGACCCAAACAAGCCTGTGCAGAATGCCAGAGAAGCCATGCAACAGGCTGATGACTGGCTGGGTGTGCCACAGGTAAGATGCATGATAGACGCCAGTAACAAACTGCCTTTGAGTGTACTGCAGCTCAGCTGGGTGGGGCTGATCTCATGAAACAATGCAACATGAAAAGCAAGAGTGTTCCTTCAGTTTTCTGATTGGCAACTTAGCTATACTCATGGGACATAGGTTCAGAGAGAACAAACCAACTACTGGCAGATTAAACCGAAGCCTAATTTGCAAATGCAAACAGATCTCATACACATGGAAGGCAACACTGAAGTGGGGGGGAAAACAACAGAACTATAAAGAGACCAAAGTTTTTTCCAGGGAGATTATGCTGGAGGATGCCATGAAATATTTATTACCCAGCTCAGGTCTAATATTTCCATTTAGTTTATTGTAGCTCTTAGTAAGTGAGTGTGTAGGAGTTTCATTTTGTGAATTTGTGGAGGTGTGAGATTTCTTAACACCTTCCGAGCCAGCCTCTGAAACTGAGGTGTAAATATGCCTGCGTTCATCAGAATAACAATGTGAAGTGTGCGATATTTTCAGTCCCGTCTGTAAGACCCAGTCTCCGTATTGAAATGTGCACCGTGCGCGTTGTTTACTTGTTTGTCTAAGGCACAGGGTTAGTTACTCTCCATGAGGCTTAGCATTGGTGAGATAGCCAGGGGCTGTATGTCATGGCGTTGCAGGGCTGGGGGCTGGATTCCATTGTGGTGTTGTTAAGGAGATGTGGGAGAGGTCTGGCTCAGAATAAATCCCCCCCTTGCTGGCTTATTGAGGGCAACAATCCTTAACCCTGCTGTCCTGAGGTTAAATATAACCAGTGTGGCGCAGGGCTTTGTGCCAGTGTGTGATAGACAGGCAAACAAGTGCTAAAGGGGTGGAGAGGAGCAGGGGTGAAGGGAATAAATACGTTTTAATCCTCATTAAATCCCACTGCACTATACTTAATAAGGCAAATGTGTAGAAAGAGTAACCCAAAACCCTTGTTGCAAAAAAGACAGTATGTTTAATTAAGACATAAATAAAGCCGTGCTGTCTTTTTATGGTCACAGCTGTCATCGTGGTCTTTGCTTAAAAGCGAAACCGTGTCGTCTGTAATTGAAAACAGTTTTTTAATGAACACCAAATTTTTCCCACAGAAAAGGTCAGCCAGTTTGTGTGACTAACCGCTTTAACGCTGGCCGATTTCTACGCTTCAGGTGATTGCCCCCGAGGAAATTGTCGACCCAGATGTGGACGAGCACTCGGTGATGACCTACCTGTCTCAGTTCCCTAAGGCAAAACTGAAGCCTGGAGCTCCTCTCAAGCCCAGACAGCTTTTTCCAAACAAGGCCAAAGCCTATGGACCAGGTGGGCATCCCAACATGAATGAATGAACAGCTCACAACAGTTCGTACAAGTACTATGACATGAATAATGAATGTTCACCTTCTCAGTCTTGAAAACAGTGATGCTAGGTACTGTTACTGTATAGATAATTTAGCAGTAACACAAGTGTGTTCCCTCAGGGAAACCTTTTAATACTTCTTTTTTGGTGGTGCATCACTTTGTTGCATTTGGTTGTCTGTAAGTGTTGCATTGCCCCAAGCTTTTGTGAAAGAAACTCATATTTTATCCGATTGCATTAAAAAATTTATTTTCTGTACTCTCACTGCATTTGCCTGCCTTGCACAGCAATGTAAGCTCAATGCTTTATATTAATTGGATAATTGTAATCTAGAGGGGCCTATTTGTTTGCTCTGATGAGAAAGAAAAAACATGCCTCGTGTTTCTATATTTATATCACAGGCATTGAGCCTCATGGAAACAAGGTACTGCAACCAGCTGTGTTCACTGTGGAAACTCTGGAAGCTGGCAGTGGTGAAGTCCTGGTCTACGTGGAGGATCCAGAGGGACACAAAGAGGAGGCGAGTCATACATGATACCCAAGGGTTGTTTGGCAATCTTTCGTCAAGCTCAGAGCCCCAAATTCAAAATTTGATTAAAGGGCTGGAAAGATAGTTGGCATGCCCCCTTCATCATCCCTCCAGGAGGTATTTGAAGAGTCAGTGATAAAGCAGGCTCTGAAAATTACTAAGGACAAAAATCACATCCTTCATAACGAGTATGAGATGATGCCCTCAGGAAAAAGGTACAGGGTACCAAACTGTAGGTTTACATTTTCTTTAATGCCATTATCAGTCAAATTATTGAATTATTAACCCTAATGCTAAATTTAGACCTCACTTTGTCAGCCCAGCAATGACCTAATCCAGGTGACACTGGGGCATTGGTTTGAAACCAAAAAAATGGGTGTTGTTGTATGGCTACTGCTGCGTCTCATCATAATGGACCAAAACAAAAGCTGCATCCCAGCAGAAAAACATAGATGGGAAATATTTTTAGTTTTCCGTGGAAGTTCTGTCACTTCTGTGAGATTTTTTCTACTGCTTGTCTGTATACAACTGTCAGCATGCCAAAGCAAATTAGGAACGATGTTCCTGGTGTAGTTAGGTGAAACTGTCAAATGGAATAACACACGACAGCCAGTATTATACACACGTACGTGGAAATCACTAACAAGCATTAGCAGCAGGCAGTAAGCGTGATTAATCAAGGAGAAGTGTAAAGCCTGTCATGCCTCTCAGTTCTGGAAAGGCAAGATTTTCTAACTCTGTAGATGCCTAATCTGACTATAGACTGTATATAAAAGATGGGTGTAGCTACAGTGACTTCACCCATATCCTGTCCTGTCCTTGTCCCGTCTCCCTTCCCTCACTCCAGCCAGTGTCGCTAAGGGCTTGCTCATAGAGGGTTGTCTGAATGTTTCCACCTTACAATATAAAGCACTTTAAGGAAACTGTTGTGGTGTATATAAAATTGAACTGAATTGAATATGGACTCATAGCAGACAGAACAGTAGGTCGTAGGGGCAGGGAAAAATATTTTGTCTGGCAACTTTGTGTCGATAAAAAACTTGATATTTTATCAAATACATTTAAGTTCCCTGGAAATACAGTGAGCAAGAGGGCTCATCTCATACACCACCATCCTGAGATGATGCGAGCTGAGTAAACTTACATTGAATCAGCTCGAATGCACACAACAAACACTGGACACACTTAGCTTTAACAGTTATCCTAATCATCCATTGCAAAATACTAATAACTGCAATATGCTGAGTACCGTGGGTTGTATGGGTATTCCCACCTCTAGTAATCAGAAAGAGCGCTGGTTGAAGGCAGACACATTGGTGTCACTTTTCAGAAATTGAAGATATGGCCAGCTTTTATATACAGTTTATGAATATTACATTGTGACCATTGCAACAACACAAAAAAATTGGCTCATCTTTGACTAAATGTCTCTCACTTTGACTTTTTTGTTCTTCAGGCAAAAGTAAAACCCAACAATGACAAAAACAGAACCTACACTGTCACCTATGTTCCTAAAGTTGAGGGAGTTCACAAGGTGAGAGCCCACTGGCAATATTTATTATGTGTTTTAACTATAAACACGGTCACGACAGGATAAAACGGACTCTGTATTCAATTTGTCTTTTTTCCTTCAACATTAGGTGAAAGTGTTGTTTGCAGGCCAGGACATTGACAAGAGCCCGTACACAGTGAATGTGGCAAAAGCTTTAGGGGACCCGAGCAAAGTCCAGGCCAGGGGACCAGGTCTGGAGCCCACAGGCAATGTGGCAAACAAACCCACATACTTTGACATCTACACAGCTGGTAAGCATGAAAAAAACACCCACTGCTTACTGAAATCATATAGAAAACAACAGTCCTCCAATAATCAATGGTTTTCTGGCAAACGTAGGTGCTGGTAATGGCGATGTCAGTGTGGTCATCGTCGATCCTCAAGGCAAAAAGGACACGGTGGAGCTCATCCTGGAAAACAAAGGGGACAGTGTTTTCCGTTGCACCTATCGTCCTGTTCTGGAGGGCCCTCACAAGATTCATGTGCTCTTCGCAGGCCAGGAGATCCCCAAGAGCCCTTTTACTGTCAACATCGCAGAGGGTGAGCCATCTGTCTGTGTTGTAAATTAGTGTCACACAAATCTGATTTCTTACCGTGCTGTAAGTGTCGCGGTGATCAATCCATCACAGTCTGCAGTCAACTTTATTTATCCTGGAAACAGCCACCCTGTAAAGTCCATAATCCTTCCTATTTGTCATTTCTAGCTCCAACTGTTGCTCCTCCCAAGGGAGCGCCACTGCCGATAACTCCTCAGTCAGTGCGCACCCCTCCTGGAGCGAAGGGTGCGACGGGGGCTCCTCCCCCAAAACCTGACCGTCCAAGTTAGTATTGTCTCATTGGAGGAGCTTGTGCCTCTTGCCTAGCCAGATTGACACAGTGCAATCCTGTGCGCCAGGCCTTGCAGATGCCCCTCTGTGCTTTCCTCTGAGTTTTTGGTGCCGTGGCTTTATGCCATGCTTGGTCGCCTGCTCTATCGTCCCGTGTCCTGAAGCTTGGTGGTTTAGTCATGTTCAGAGAGAAAGAGAGAGAGAGAGAGAGGAAATGCAGTGTTGTACACATAGTTTGCAGTTTTTCCCAGTTAGAATTTCAGCTACTTCCTGCCTGTCTTTGCTCCTCTCTCTTAAAATATCTGTGCTTGTGCTGTCGACATGTTTGTTTTCATCATGGCTGCATTTGCCTCAGCCAATATTCCATTCAAAGCCTGCCCTCAACATTTCAGAGTGACTGACTGAAATGTTGCCGGATGCTTCCTTGATGCCCCGTAATGTGTCAATATTTTGTGCAGCACTGCACTGAAATTTGTGCTGCAGAAAGCATCATTCTCATTTACAGGTTCAGTCTGTCAACATTTGTGGAATCCCACTTCAACACTTCAATTGGAATTTGCTACTAACATTGCTGCAATCAGCTCTTGGCTACTCTGCTTTTTTTTGCTGCTGAATATTTTTCTCACACTTGTTGTTATTCCTTTCAGCCATAAACCCAAACGCTTGCAGAGCTACTGGCAGAGGGCTTCAGCCTACAGGTGTGAGAGTAAAGGAGGTTGCAGACTTCAAAGTTTTCACCAAGGGAGCCGGCAGCGGTGCACTGAGTGTCTCAGTCAAAGGACCAAGTGAGTCAGACAGCTCTGTTCTCTGCATCACTCCTCCTCGTGCATTTTTAGAATGATTTCCTTTGTTTGGGCCCTTTGTCTGCATTCACATACGCGTATGATACGGCACTAAACAACAAAACGAAATGCATAAAATGCGTCTGAGCTGATATTATTCCTTTTCAGCTGGAGCAGAGGAGCAAGTGAAAGTGCGAGATGTGGGGAACGGCGTGTATGAGTGTGAATATTACCCCCTTAAACCTGGTAAATACACAATCACCATCACCTGGGGAGGCCAGCCTATCCCACGCAGGTAGGGTCCTATTGTTGCCTTCAGCGATTCATTAATAATGCGCGATCACATTTGTGCCAGGTAATATTGTGTATACTTCTTTTTCTTCTTGTGTGCTGCAGCCCTTTCGAAGTTCAGGTGGGTGCGGAGGCAGGTTTTCAGAAGGTGAGGGCCTGGGGTCCTGGTCTGAAGACTGGCATGGTGGGAAAATCTGCTGACTTTGTGGTAGAGGCCATTGGCACTGAAGTTGGAACGCTGGGTAAGATGTGTGCAGGTTATGCAAGCTCTTATGAAAGAAAAGTAATACCATTCTTCAGTGCTTTAAATCTGAGCTTTATACGTGTGAATGCTTCATTTTTCTCAGGCTTCTCGATTGAAGGCCCATCACAAGCTAAAATTGAGTGTGATGATAAGGGCGATGGCTCCTGTGACGTACGCTACTGGCCCACCGAGCCCGGTGACTATGCTGTCCATGTCATTTGTGACGATGAAGACATCAAGGACAGCCCCTTCATGGCTCACATTCTGCCCGCAGCCAATGATGTTTTCCCTGAAAAGGTAATTCTAGCTGATATCACTTATAAACTGAGAAAGTACAAATCACATCGCCGAGATCTTCAACTGCATCCCAAATAATGTATTTCAAGGTGAAAGCTTATGGTCCAGGCCTGAAGCCGACTGGTGTCATTGTGAACAAACCGGCCGAATTCACTGTTGACGCTCGCATGGCTGGGAAGGGTCAACTCAAGATCTATGCACAGGTATGGCCTGGAATCCTTGTTTTGCATTCATAGGAGTGGGTCACTTATATTCATGTGGGGTGTACAAGCCAGACCTGACAAGATTTTGTATCCACTAAGGATGCTGAAGGCTCCACCATAGACATCAAGATCACTGACAGGGGAGATGGCACATTTCACTGTGTATACACTCCTGTCAAGCCCATTAAACACACCATCATCATCACCTGGGGCGAGGTCAATGTGCCCAGCAGCCCCTTCAGGGTAAGAGACTTGTAGATGTACACACACACACACACACACACGCGCACACATGACTTTATACCGCTCTCGAAATTAAGTCTATTTAATAGGATGATACTTCACCAGATATAGACAAAATAAGAGGACTGCAGTGGTTTTACTTCAATCAATTGCATCTGCTTCAAGTACACTGTGAATTCATTAGGTGCTGGTTGGAGAGGGGTCTCATCCAGACAGAGTCAAGGTCTATGGGCCCGGAGTAGAGAAGACGGGGCTCAAGGCTAACGAGCCAACATATTTCACTGTGGACTGCAGTGAGGCTGGGCAAGGTGAGCCTGAACAAGGAGATGATGTGGGTGGTTACAAAAACACTCCTAAGTTTAGTCGACCCTAAAGAAACTAGTGCTGCACCATGCAAATGTAAAAAAAATGTAGAGCACAGAAAGAGAAGAATAAGTGAATCTGTGAAGCTGAATTTATTTGAAATGGATGACAGTATTTTATAAATAAAGCCAGAGGAGTTGAGTGACTGCTTCAATATATTCACACGCTCAACTTTTAAATAACCTTTGTGAACTGTGCTCATTGTTATGCACCGTTAGGGGACATCAGCATTGGAATAAAATGCGCCCCGGGGGTGGTTGGGCCTGCCGAGACTGACATCGACTTTGACATCATCAAGAATGACAATGACACCTTCACTGTCAAGTACACTCCACCCGGTCCAGGCCGATATACCATCATGGTGCTGTTTGCAGATCAGGTAAGAAAACAGTTTTTGCCTGAGCTGAGGGGGCTGGGCCGTAAAATTATCAGTAGTTTTCATTTTCGTTACTTGGTAATTGTATTCCTCAGGAAATTCCAGTAAGTCCGTTCAAAGTGAAAGTGGATCCTTCCCACGATGCTGGAAAGGTGAGAGCAGAAGGGCCTGGCCTCAACAAGACAGGTGAGCTTTCGTGACATCTACACTGTATAGGTATTTACATTCGCAACCACTTCCGTTACATTGCTTTAATGCTCTAGCTTTGATACAAAGTAATAGAACAATTTGACAAGACGCATGTGCGTTTCAGGTGTGGAGGTGGGCACTCCAACCCACTTCAATATCTACACAAAGGGAGCTGGCAAGGCCAAGCCTGAGGTGCATTTTGCTGCGTCAGGCCCAGGAGAGGCAGTTCGTGACTTTGAGATCATCGATAACCACGATTACTCCTACACTGTCAAGTACACGGCTCTTCAACAGGTACAGCGGACCTCTGCTCGATGTCCAGTTAGATTAGAAAAGGAATTATTCACAGTAGTGCCATGCATTATTAAATACTCATTCTTCTTCTGGTGTTTTTTACATTTTTTTATTTATTTTTTAGGGCAACATGACAATATCCGTGACTCACGGAGGAGATCCCATTCCCAAGAGCCCTTTCCACATCACAGTGTCGCCAGCTATGGATATCGGAAAAGTGAAAGTGGAGGGATTAGATACCAGTAAGTTATAACCCATCACACATCTATAGTCCAGTTAACTGTATAATTACATGTTTTATGTAAATTTATTGTGCTCTTTCATGCAGAAGTGGAGGTTGGAAAGGATCAGGAGTTCACAGTTAACACAAAGGACGCTGGTGGGCAGGGCAACGTAGGTGTGAAGATGACCTCGCCCTCTGGCCGACCAATCCCGTGCAAGCTGGAATCAGACAAAGCCAAAGGCGTTCACAGTGTGAAGTATATTCCCCCAGAAGAGGGGCAGTACAAGGTTGATGTCAGCTATGATGGGAACCCTGTGATGGGAAGCCCTTTTGGGGTTGAAGCAGTAATGCCTGCTGATCCATCAAAGGTAAAAGATCATGAAAATTGTATAGATTTCTGCACTATGTATGAAGACATGTTTCTCTACCATCTCCCGCAAACTAACTTGACTGTTGCATCACAGGTGCGAGCCTTCGGCCCAGGTCTGAAGGGAGGGGTTGTGGGTAAACCAGCTCCATTCACTATTGACACAAAGGGAGCTGGTGCAGGTGGGCTCGGCCTCACGGTGGAAGGTCCCTGCGAGGCAAAAATTGAGTGCCAAGACAACGGTGACGGCACATGCTCAGTCGCCTACCTGCCCACTGAGCCCGGCGAGTACTCCATCAACATCCTGTTTGCAGAGCAGCACATTCCAGGCTCTCCCTTCAAAGCTGCAGTCCGCCCAGCCTTTGACCCCAGCAAGGTGACGGCTAGTGGGCCCGGTCTAGAGAGGGCCAAGGCGGGTGAACCAGCGACCTTTACTGTGGACTGTACCAGAGCAGGCGACGGCGAGCTCACTATCGAGATTGTGTCAGAGACTGGGGTTAAGGCGGAAGTGCACATTCAGAAAACGGCTGAAGGCACCTTTTCTGTCACATACATCCCACCCTTCCACGGCACACACACCATCACGATCAAGTACGGCGGAAACGTGATTCCCCACTTTCCAAAGGTCCTGCAGGTCGAGCCCTCTGTTGACACCACGGGTGTTCACGTCTACGGGCCTGGAGTGGAGCCCAGAGGTACACATGACAAAATCACCTCAAAATAAATCACTGCATTACATTATAGACATAAAGGTTTGTTTTATTGGTCGTTACCGCCTTAACATATATGCCAACTGCCCAGAAATAAGTATTAGTAAAGATATCTAATATCTCAGCACCTGAAGGCCTATTTTCTTCTCTAGGTGTTCTCAGAGAAGTCACAACCCACTTCATTGTGGATGCGCGCGCCCTCAACAAGGTTGGAGGAAATCACGTGAAGGTTCACATTATCAACCCCTCTGGCACCAATACAGACACCTACATTACTGACAAGGGAGACGGCACCTACAGAGTGGAATATACGGCGTTCGAGGACGGTAGGAGCAGTCATTATGTTAGATCATACATAAACTAAGAACTGTGGTGAAAAATGTCCAGATTTGACCTGATGCAGATAAATGGAGGATTTTACATGGACAGGGCATGTGAAAGAGTTCATACAGACAGAAAAAAAATCGCTAACAGTTGCTTGCATTGGGCGCCATTTGGGAATAAAGCTAAAGAGATGGAAAAGAAAGAGCGAGTGAGAGAGAGAGGGGGGTATAAATACAGAATGATGCAGTGGTGCAATGATGTGAGGGGCAGAGAGCAGGGAAGCAGAGAGTCAGACAGGCTCTGTTTTATAAATAGTGCGCACAGAAGCTCTTAACCAGGTATGTATGTGTGCTGAAGGCTGCCTGCACACAGCAGTACAGCAGGGGAATGACAGGGGATATTAATAGAGACCTATAGCACAAAGCAAAGATATCACAGAGCACTTCTCTACCACCAGACATGCTCTAATATCACAGCAGTGTGGCTGGGAATCTGGTGTGTAGGCCTACTGAGAGGGCTCTGTCAGAAAAATGTTGTAACAGAATAATGAATAGGGAACAGATGTAACGCCTTGTACATTCACCCGAGCGTCTGCGCTTTTGATAGTGTCTTTTATAAATAAACAGATGTTTACCTACCTAAAAGGGAATTTGTCTGGCCCATAATTTAAGAAGCAGTAACAGAATATATATATATATATATATTCTTGTGTTAAAAACAAGCAGACACAGAGGTTTGGCGTCAGACCTGTAAGTGATGTATTCGTTTGTGTGTAGGGATGCATCTGATTGAAGTGCTGTATAATGACGCGCCGGTGCCTAAGAGTCCCTTCAGAGTGTCTGTGGTGGAGGGATGTGATCCAACCCGGGTCCGTGCCTTTGGACCAGGTCTGGAGGGAGGAATAACCAACAAACCAAACTGTTTCACCGTAGAGACCAGGTACTGCTGAACCACATATAAGACAAAAGAATATAAAGAATATTTGCATGTTCTTTAAAATGTTTTTCTTTTTCTGTATTTTGTGGGTAAAACACAGAGAGAGAGTATATTAGAACCCCAGTGTGAACATTTTTAAAATTGTCGGCTTCTGTCACAGGGGTGCTGGTACAGGAGGCTTGGGTCTGACCATCGAAGGAGCCTCAGAGGCAAAAATATCCTGCAAGGACAACAAAGATGGCAGCTGCAGTGTGGAGTATGTGCCCTTCACTCCTGGAGACTACGATGTGAATATTAACTACGGAGGTCACCCGATCCCCGGCAGTCCGTTCCGTGTGCCAGTTAAGGATCCCGTGGATCCCAGCAAAGTAAAGTGCTCAGGTCCAGGTCTGGGTGCTGGAGTGAGAGCCCATGTTCCTCAGACTTTCACTGTGGATTGCACCAAGGCTGGACAGGCCCCACTGGATGTCAAACTCTATGGCCCAACAGGTGTGAATGGGCTCTATTAATAAGAAAAACTGTCATTAATGCACCAAGTGAGTGACAAATAGCAGTAATTATGTGGCATGTCTTTATTTCTAGGGACCGTGGAGCCTGTTGGTGTGAAGAATAACGGTGATGGAACCCACACAGTTCACTACACTCCAGCCCAGGATGGCCCGTACACTGTAGCAGTCAAATATGCTGACCAGGAAGTCCCACACAGGTAGAGTCTGAGTATATGAGTAATCCAGGCAATTTGTTTTGATGTCTTGTTTAAATCTCTGCTCTTTGTGTCTGGATTTAGAAGCGCTAAACACATTTTTGTGTTCCATTTCTACCTTTTTGTCACACTGAAAATGTAATTATATTTGCTACTGGCCTCGCCAACAGTCCATTCAAGGTAATGTCTCAGCCTGGGCACGACGCCAGTAAAGTACGTGCCAGTGGCCCTGGTCTCGATACCAAAGGTGTGCCCGCTAGCTTGCCTGTTGAGTTCACCATTGATGCTCGTGACGCTGGAGAGGGACTGCTCACTGTGCAGATTCTGGTAGGTTTTCCTTCCTATTACACAGTATTTTCTAAACAATAAGGCACTATGTAAAATAACATGAAATGTCTGGTCACAGGACCCAGAGGGAAAGCCAAAGAATGCAACCATCCAGGACAACAGGGATGGCACATACACGGTCTCCTATGTGCCTGACTCTACTGGCCCCTACACTATCACCATTAAATATGGAGGAGATGAGATCCCTTACTCCCCATACCGTATCCAGTCTCTGCCCACAGGAGATGCCAGCAAATGTCGCGTCACAGGTAGGAAAATACTTATGATAAATAACAATATTATCAGCAATTTTAATTTAATGTTCATGTTTTTTTAACCATCATGCTCTTTTTTTATTTCCGCAGTTTCTATTGGAGGACACGGCGTGTGTGAGTATCCAAAGCTTTGCTTTTATATCTGCACTGCACTGCTGGAAGACTTTACAGGAATCAATGCAGCACATTTTACCACTTATCCTTCTTTCCTCTCTGTCCTTAACAGCAAGTCTGCAAAAGCTGCAGACCTCTGAGGATACAGTTATAACAGTGGATGCCAAGGCTGCTGGGAAAGGCAAGGTGACCTGCAAGGTTCTGACCCCACAGGGGATGGAGGTGGACATGGATGTGGTGGAAAACCACGATGGCACCTTTGACATTTACTATACAGCACCTGAACCTGGGAAATATGTAATTACCATCCGCTTTGGGGGACAAAACATCCCTAAAAGCCCCTTCCATGTGATGGTGAGTAAAGGATTATTCGCTAGCTGCCACAGTTCTGCGTGCTTTTAAACTGACATTCAGTCGAATGAAACCAACAGTTTATTTTTTCTTGCTCCTTGACAGGCCACAAATGAGCCAGTCGTTCCCCGGGATACTGTGGATCCTCTCTTCCGTCCCGTTAACTTTCTCGTCCCCTTCACACCACAGCAAGGCGAAATCACAGGTGTGACAAACACACAAAAAGTCTGCACACACATGCCCACAAAATATCTTATTTTTTAGGTCACTGACATTTCACCGTCTTACCTCTGCAGGTGAAGTGCGGATGCCTTCTGGCAAGACTGCTCGCCCACACATCACTGACAATAAGGATGGCACAATCACTATTAAGTACCAGCCCACGGAGAAAGGCCTGCACGAAATGGACATCAAATATGATGGAAACCACATACCAGGTCAGCAGCACACCATGTTGGATGGATGGATCGGAATTTAGTGCTATTGATTAATTTTGCTCCAGATTTAAAAATATAAAATGCAGTATTAATCACTGGTTGCTGATGGTTATGCACTCTTTAGGAAGCCCTCTGCAGTTCTTTGTGGATGCAGTGAACAGTGGAGTGGTGACTGCTTATGGCCCAGGTCTGAGTTATGGCATGGTCAACAAGGCTGCCACTTTCACAGTGGTCACGAAGAATGCAGGAGAAGGTAGCAGAACATACGCTTTTTTTTTAGTGATATTTATGAGACAACTGAAAAGAGAAAATACATAGCGGAAGTTTTTTTTTTGTGTCCCTTTCAGGTGGTCTGTCGCTAGCAGTGGAGGGCCCCTCCAAGGCTGAGATCACCTGCAAGGACAACAAAGACGGCACCTGCACTGTGTCCTACCTGCCCACAGCACCCGGAGACTACAATATCATTGTCAAATTTGACAACAAGCACATTCCTGGCAGTCCCTTTACTGCCAAGATCACTGGTAAGGAAGTACATTATAATATGTATACACTATACACATAGATGTATATATTGAATCTTTAAACTATCACTTGCATTTATGGCTCGACAAAGATCTAAATCATCTCTTTTTTTAATTAAGGGGATGACTCCATAACCAGAACATCCCAGCTGAATGTCGGCACAGCGGCCGATGTGTCCCTAAAGATCGCAGAAACTGATCTGAGCTCTCTGACTGCCAGTATCAGAGCCCCATCTGGCAACGAAGAGCCGTGCCTACTTAAGAGACTGCCCAACAGACACCTCGGTGGGATATTAATTTTCCTGTTACACAAAGACTAAGAAGAGTAGAAGATTTATAAGATTCACCTGACGGATTTAGGCTTTTTTTCCCAGGTTGGTCGCATTGAATTTCCTTTCCTCTGACCCTTCTTTTTATGCCCACAGGCATCTCTTTCACTCCTAAGGAGGTTGGTGAGCATGAAGTGAGCGTTAGGAAGAATGGCATGCATGTGGCCAACAGTCCTTTCAAAATCATGGTTGGCCAGTCAGAGATTGGTGAGGCCAGCAGGGTGAAGGCTTTCGGTAAAGGCCTGGTGGAGGCACACACTTTTGAAATGGCTGAATTCTTTGTGGATACTAGGAATGCAGGTATGCTTTTTAAATGGTACATGACACACAGACATAGTTTTACAAAAAAGAAGCAAATAAACAGTCAAATCTGTTGCCTAGGTTACGGAGGTCTGGCACTGTCAATTGAGGGTCCGAGCAAAGTGGACATCAACTGTGAAGATGTGGAGGATGGGACTTGCAGGGTGACCTACTGCCCAACAGAGCCTGGAAGTTACACTGTTAACATCAAGTTTGCAGAAAAGCACATCCCAGGTTAGAATCTTTTACTTTGGGAAAAAAAGAGGATATTTTTTTTTATCTTAAAATGAATTAAATCTGCATATGTGTGTGTGCGTGTTCTTTCCAGGAAGTCCTTTCACAGTGAAGGTGACCGGAGAGGGAAGGATCAAGGAGAGTATAACTAGGAAGAGACAGGCCTCATCCATTGCGTCAGTGGGAAGCACATGTGGTCTTAACCTTAAGATCCCAGGTGAGCACAGAAGCCAGTTAGAAATGGTTAGAGAGCAGAGGAACAACGGGGAGCGATTTTAAATAAATGAAGCTACGGTATTTTTACATTTATACTCTCACTGCTTCTTCCTTGCTCTAGGAAACTGGTTCCAGATGGTTTCAGCTCAGGAGAGGCTAACGAGGACATTCACTCGCAGCAGCCACACTTACACCCGCACCGAACGCACAGAGATCAGCAAAATCCGCGGTGGAGAGACCAAGAGGGAAGTACGAGTGGAGGAGAGCACTCAGGTGGGAGGAAGAGGAAGCCCATTCAGAGATGTTTTTGGAGACTTTCTAGGCAGAGAGAGTCTCAGCAGCTTCGCCGGCATCACTGCCAGACCTGAGGGTGAGTCTGACTCTGAATCCAGCTTTAGCTGCCTGCTAAATCACCGATGTACTCTATGCCTATTATATATCCTGGATTGTTTCTGATCTGACGTTTTGCTCTGCCATACCAGTTGAGAGTGGTTCCCAGGCCATGACAGCTCAGGTGACCAGCCCCAGTGGGAAAACAGTGGACGCCGACATCGTGGATGGAGGCAGCAGCACCTACAGTGTGCGCTTCATCCCTCAGGAAATCGGACCCCACACAGTCAACGTCAAGTACAGAGGCCAGCACGTCCCCGGTAGCCCCTTCCAGTTCACCGTGGGTCCCATGGGGGAGGGTGGAGCACACAAGGTCCGCGCAGGCGGTCCCGGGCTGGAGAGAGGCGTTGCTGGAGCGCCTTGTGAGTTTCCTGTTTGTAAACAGCCATGCTGTTAACGGGAATGACTGTGTTTTGACATTCTTCTTCCTTAAGATTAACATTCTCCTTTACCTTATCATCTTTAGCTGAATTTAGTATCTGGACCAGAGAGGCAGGTGCTGGTGGCCTGTCCATTGCCGTGGAGGGGCCCAGCAAGGCTGAAATCTCATTTGAGGACAGAAAAGATGGTTCCTGCGGTGTCTCCTACATAGTGAAAGAACCAGGTAGAACTTCTATCACGCACAGCCGTGGTATTTTCCTCATGCATGTTTTAGCAGTGCGACTCGTGTGTGTGTGTGTGTGTGTGTGTGTGTGTTTGTTTCTGAGCTGCTAAGCTTTTCAGTAATTCCTGTGAGCCTCCTCCACTTCATTTGATGGTGGAAGTAAATAACCTGTCTGCCTCCCCAGGTGACTACGAGGTGTCAATCAAGTTCAACAACGAGCACATCCCTGACAGCCCCTTCATCGTTCCGATTGCTACACTGTCAGACGAGGCCCGCAGGCTCACTGTCACAAGCCTTCAGGTTAGCTCTCGCACATATGCACACTTCCACACACACATACGCAGCTGTCAATAGTCACACTAATTATTTGTCTCAGCAGCTATCACAGACAAAATAGATACGCAATCACAGAATATCAAGGTAGAATAGCAGATGGCATGTGACATAATGTGCGATTGGTTGCAGATCTTTCTAAAAGCACTTTGCCCTTGAAGTGTAATTGAATGCCAGCGCTGGAGCAGTACCCATGAATATAATACTGCGATGCTGGCCAGTGATGAAGGGCTGGATTAACTGTCCCTCTGTAATGTGGGGCATCACAAGCTGTGCTATGTGAGCACTCAGTTGCTCTGCTGTGATTGTGTTTCCGTCTGAGCGAAAGCAAGAAAGCAAATTTTGAGCTGAAGATAAAGATACCTCTGACAGCTCACGATATCGGTGTCAGTGGCAGACAGATGTTGTTTTATTTGCTTTCATAGTCTCCGTAACAGCTGCCAACGATGCTAAAACCATGTATTTTTAGTTAACTGAAATGCCACTTCAGAGCACTTTTTCTCGCACTAGAAAATGAAAAAGGCAGGTAAAGTGCAACGGCAGCATTTAAAATGTCACGCTATCTCTGTCTGCTAGGACCTCTTGTCCATCTGTAGGGCAAAAAACGCTAAACGCCTCGCTGTAATCTTTGACCTTTTCTGCCTCTCACACGCAAATGCTCTATCTATTCTCGTTCAGGCATGATGAGTCACACACATTGTGTCCCTAAATGTGTGGGCCGCACGCACACACACACACATTTTGTGATCCTATTATTACCTGTCTTTTGCAGGAGAAAGACTTGAAGGTGAACCAAGAGGCATCTTTCATGGTGCAGCGCAACAGCGCCCGAGGTGTGGTTGATGCCAAAGTCCACACCCCCTCTGGCTCTTCTGAGGAATGCTATGTCACCGAGCTTGACAGCGGTATGCACCACCCTCAGCTTTTAGCATTAAGTAGGCTGCACAACAGAGATAACTCAGGTTTTTTCATTTCAACGCGTCATCTGTGAGCATAAGAACAGAAATGTCTCCTCTTGTGTTTTTAGACAAGAGTGCAATCCGCTTCATTCCACGAGAGAACGGAGTTCACTCCATAGATGTCAAGTTCAATGGATGCCACATTCCTGGGAGCCCATTCAAAGTGCGAGTGGGAGATCCAGGGCTTATTGGAGACCCTGGCATGGTGACTGCACATGGCCCTGGACTGCAAGGGGGAACCACAGGTGCATTTCACTGCCATTCACCACCATGTGCTCCTGCTATTGTTAATATTCTTGCACAATTGCAACAAGGGGGAAGCCCTTCAAACATCTGCATCTTTCTTCTCACAGGTGTACCCTCAGAGTTTGTGGTCAAAACCTGTAACGCAGGCTCCGGCACTCTGTCGGTCAACATCGACGGGCCGTCCAAGGTCAAGATGGACTGTCGGGAGTGTCCTGAAGGCTATAAGATCACCTATACACCCATGGCACCCGGCAACTATCTCATCACCATCAAATACGGCGGGCCACAGCACATAGTGGGCAGCCCTTTCAAAGCCAAAATAACAGGTGTGCTTGACAGTATATATCTGCATGATAGGTCTTCGATTGAGAGATAAGTGCATCTCTGAAAAGTGCAGAAGTAATGAAAATGTCACGTCTTCCACGTGTGTGCTTCTCCGTGTTCATCTTAGATAAAAGCTGTTTTTCTCTTGCACTGCAGCAATATATTCCTGTCACTGGCTGACGGAAAAAAAACATTCCCATTTTTTTTTATTAGTGTTACATAAAAATGCTTTCAAGTTTGAAAACAACTCCCAAGAGTCCCTGAAAGTTCACTTTATTTGAAAGTGGTATAAAATCTTTTCCAATTTGGGCTTCCTTGAATGTTTCCGTTGAGGAAAAACTCTCCCTATAAACAGCAGCTTTTCCTCCCTCATATCTTTGTCAATACCCAGTGTGTTATGTAATGTCTGGATTAAGCCACGATGGCTGGAGATAACTTTTTTTTTCTCTTTCTCTTTCTCTTTTTCTCTCTCCCGCAGGCCCGAGGCTTTCTGGGGGACACAGCCTCCACGAGACCTCCTCCGTCTTGGTCGAAACGGTTACCAAAACATCCAAAGTGGGTGGTGCTTACAGCTCCTCCTCTTCTACCACCTCATCCAAAATGACGTCAGATGCTAGCAAGGTGGTTTGTCGTGGAACAGGGCTGTCCAAGGCTTTGGTTGGGCAGAAAAACAATTTTACTGTCGACTGCAGCACAGCAGGTGAGGCGATAGAGATCGAACATATTTTGCGTGAATACAGAAAAAAAGCAGGATTTGAGCACTGGTATATACAGACACCAAAGTGAGGTTTATTAAATGATTCACACTGTAACCGTATGTTAACACGTAGTTTTAAGCTGCTATGACCTCAGTAATCTCAGGTTTTTTATGCAGTGAATGAGTGGGATCTGGATTTACATATTTCACAATATAAAAGTCCAAATTTAGTTTCAATTCCCCAAAACAGTTGCCTCAAGGTGTTTTATATTTTAAGGTGAAAACCCAACAATCAGGTCACCCGCCTATGAGCAAGCACTTGGTGACAGTGGGAAGGAAAAACTGCCTTTTAACAGGAAGAAACCTTCGGCAGAACCAGGCTCAGAGAGGGGCATCCATATGCTGTGACCGGCTGCTAGTGAAGGGAGGAAGAAAAGACAAAAGACAAACTGTGGAAGAGAGTCAGGGATTAATACATTAATAAATCATCATAAAAACCTAAAATTCTGATACAATCGAAGCTCTCTATATTTTTTTACACTACCTCCCTCACTTATTTCGGGCTCAACCAAATAACTTGTTAACATCATCATCATAGATGGCTGGTAAATGTTAAATTGCTCATTTTCTTTCGGCAGACAGCTGCAAACTTAGTGTAATATTCGAATATTTAATGCTACGCAAGAAACATAAAGTCTAATTTCCTGAAAAGAGTATAAAAATGTATAAAAAACACAAGACAATGTGATCACAGAGGTCATGATGAACTGCAGAAACGAGGAATATTTCTCTGTTACTTTGTCATTTTAGGAAACCTCTCTGACATCATACATTTTCTTTTCATTGGCTGAATAAAAGAATATTTAAACTTGCACAACCACCAGCTTTTGTAGACCAATATCATTAAATCTCCCTCTTGCCGCTCCATCCAGGTACCAACATGCTGATGGTGGGCGTGCACGGACCCCATGCTCCCTGTGAGGAGGTCTACGTCAAGCACATGGGCAACAAGCTCTATAACGTCACCTATACCGTGAAGGACAAGGGCAGTTACACCGTCATTGTTAAATGGGGCGACGATAACGTGCCAGGAAGCCCGTACAAAGTGGCTGTACCATAAAAAAAACAGCAACAGTGACAAAAAGACTCCATCCCTTCTGACCCTCCACGCTTTCCTCCTCATGTGCATGCATCATTCAGTGCTTCATTTCTGGCACCGCTGTTTGCTCTTCAGCAAGGATCACAATCTACTAAACATGCAAGAAAACCTGCAAGGACATTTGCTTACAGAATTACTGATGGCAGAGAAGCTATTGTGCCAAATTATTGTTTAAACTTCAGATGATGTGTGCGTGTACACTCACAGGTATGCATCCACATTCAGACGGGTGTGGGGGCAGCACTGTGGTTCAGAAGTCCTTGAGCGACCCCCAAATGGCACAAGTACACGAATGTTAAACAGATGCTAGAGTAACAGTGTTTAGAGTGTGATACAGTATGGTTTTGTATGATTTAAGAATGACAAAATTGACTTTTTTTTGTTATATTAACCTTTTTTTTTTTGGTAAGTCTTTGCAGACCTAATAAAGATTTAATTGCTAACTTTCCAGATGAAAATGATTTGGTTTATTTGATTTCACGCTGTGCTGGCAGATGCTTCGCGGGCTCTGCAAGAGGCATCTCTTACGTTTTACATTTCCATAGTTTCATCATGCAGCTATTTTCTGACCACTGCTGGTTCCTCTGTCTGAGTAGCTGTCAGGATTTTTCTTTTCGATCACCGCAGCTCTCAGCTGAGTAGCTGCCCTTTAGATATTTGAGAGCTGAAAACTTTCTTCCCGGCAAACTTCAGACTGTGCAACCAACATTTAAAATCGACTCTCCTAAAGGTCTTCATTTACCTTTAACTCGATATCACGATACAGTGTTGCGTCAAATAAATAATAAAGGGTTTCTCTTCGAGTTCACCTTGTTTGCATCCTGTACTTGTCCAGATGCAATCACAAGATGGCAGCATAGGCAAGCTCACATCTGTATTCATATCTCCAGAAAATACACCATAATGCAATCTCCATTGTTCCCAGTAAAGATTGACTACACCATGCTCAACACGAGGAAGCCCGCGGAGCGTAGAAAGCAGGGGGAAACGGCTTCTGTTGTTTGTGTAATTAATCCTGTTGGATCAGAGATGGAACACAAGTGGATTCTGTTGTGGCGTCCTCATGGTGGGGCGCAAACCAACCAGCAAGGAGGGAGGTCTACCCTTTCGCTTGTGTGTATGTGTGTGTGTGTGCCTCTCCATGAATTGTGTGTGGTCTGTGGGCCTCGGTACGACAGTGAGTCAGCCAAGCAGCCTCCACACGGTGACACAGTTCACCTGAACCAATACCATTCTTCACAGAGAGGAGCCTATAATTAGGTGCTAATTTTCTCTGGTTCCACTGTGACATGATGCTGGGGGCCATGGCGAGGCAAGACAGAGCGCGTGGGTGCATCTGATGAACAGTGGCGAGAACTCGACTTGAGACCATCTGGCCGAGTGGCTGACGCTGCCTGCTGCTGTCTCTGCTGACGCTGGGACCGGGGCAGGGCCCACCCACGTCAGTCTGTCCTCCCCGTACCGCTCCTCCGGACCGGGACCCAGGCGTCTGTCCACCACAACATGTTTATCTCGAGTGGATGCCAAGTGAATTGGGTGCAGCGATCCAGCAGCATAGAAAAAAAGAGGAAGGGGGGCGGGGGTACAAGCATAGGGGGGAGGAAGAGGAGAGGGCAAAGAGAGGGGAAGAGAGTGTGGGAGGAAGAGGCTGAGAAAGATGGATTAGAGGAAGAGAATGGGATTAAAAGAATCCAGATGGAAGAAAGGAAGACAGGCCCACAGACACAGACACACACACACACACACACACACACAGACACACACACACACACACACACACACACACACAAAGACACAAAAACAGAGAAGCAGACAAACAAAAGTACATTAAAGACAACCTAAAAAAACTGACTGCAGATGAAGCAATCAAATCGCTGTTCTAGGTCATTGAGAGCATCCTAATGCAGTGCATAACTTTACCGTCAAAGATAGCACTGGTGTTCGACTATTGGAAGATGAGGGGGGGGTTTCTGCATGGAGATGCTTCTCCCTCTCTCTCTCTCACACACACACACACACACACTTACCGACAAACACAAAAGTCTGGATTATGTTAAAAGAAAAAATTGTGTAAAGGCATGCCCCCAAAAGCTTTTGAAGATGGTGCTCTCGGGGCAAAAAACTCATTCTCCAGCGTGCCCCTATCATGCTGACTCCTGTTCTCTTCTCTCTTTTCCATCTACTCTGATCCAGCCTTTCCCACCCTCCCTTTCTTCCTTCCCTCCCCGCCTCCCCCGAGTTTAATTTTTCCTCCCGCTCCTTAAACTCCTATCAATCTAAGCTTCTGCAGTTTATTTCTCATCTTCCTTCCTCTGTCACTGAGAGCCTTGTCCCCAGGCCTGCATCTTCTACCTTTGACCTCTATCTGTCAATGCCGGCTGTCTCCTCAACTCAGATGGAAATCCCGGAAGATTGGGTCACAAGACATTGACATCTCTCGAAGCAAATAATGAAAAAAAAAGGGGGAAATGAACCAGCAAACAAACAGCTAAATGAGTGTTTGCACAAACAAATGGTTGCCCGGCCAGGTTAATGAATGAACATGTAGTAGGGAGAGAAAGAGAGGGATTGTTGTAGCAATGCATCCATTCAATTTCCATCCAAGCCTGAAGATTCTGCTGTGTAATTGCTTCATGCATAGTTGATACACTGCATAATCAACCAAATATGCTGGATTTTCTCTGTTTGTGTAGATCTGGACTTTGAGGGCCACTGGAAAGTTAGGATTTGGAGTTGCTTTTAACGCAAAAACTCATTCATATCTGAGCGCTCAACGTTCTCCTTTCAAACACACAGGCACACGCGGGACCAGTGAAAGGTATGCTCTCCTGTAGTTGAATCAGGACCGCGATGTGTTTTATTCATATAGATGAAATATTCATTAGCCTGTTGTCGCTCTGCTTTTGTCTGTGTCTCTTACACGTAAGCCGATTAAAAATCAAGACGGACTACGGCCGCAAATTGGTTAGCTTCGTGTAGGGGTGTAAAAACAATGCAAATGGATGGACGGAGTTCCCAATGGGCGTCAGCAGATTGTGTTCATGCAGCATGCAAATGCGTAAAGCATGAAGCTGGTCCAAGCCCTCAAACCAGTTGCTGAATAGTTGCTGCACTATAGAGAGGGATGGATTTCTGTTGATGGAAGCCTCCAACGAGAGATGCATACCAAAGACCTCCCACCCTAAGAAAGCATTTTCACACAAAGCAAGAGGCACACATTTCTGCCATATACACACATACATATAAGCTTGGCCAGTCATTCATGCTCGAACAGAGCAGACTCGAACAGGCAGGCAGCACCACGCACACGAAAAGAAACAGCGTGATGTGAAATGGTTTAGCTTCATGAGGTGTATGAACAGCAACAGCCCGAGGCAGGAGAAATGACAGGGAGAAAAAGCGTCCTTTTTCCTCTGAGAAAGGTGTGTTCACACTTCTTTTGTGGAGCAGCAGGGACATGTCAGGGGCAAAGTCCCCATGTCTCCATCTCTAATTGGAGCGTATCCCTCTGCCCTGTCCCCATCGCACTATGGTGAATGCAGGATGCTGTGCTAATGGATAGCCCCCCTGCGGAGGGCTTGTCCTTGATGTGCGATTTGACGGCAGCCCTTGCTGAGGGTAGACTGCAGATTAGAGGCAAATCAGAAGATTTGTTTGTCCTCTCCAAGCGGGGTGGGACATTCAAGGAGAGAGACCAGCCGTGTGCTGTGATGGAGTGGGTTGGACCGGTACGACAGATGTGTGTTAGTGTGACTGATGTGTTTTGGGTGAGCAGGCTGCGCTGGGTCACCGACACCTGGAGAACGAACATAAGCCCGTCCAAGAAATGCCTGGGCATACTGATGCTGTGTTTGTTTCGATCACTGTCCAAATGGCGAGCTGAGCCAAAGGTAGCTTTCTGTGATAGCACCTTTGGTGAAGATTTAGGAGAAGATAACGATGTTGTAATTACCTGTGCTAAATTGGAACTGTGGCTGCTCAATGAGGTATAAACAAGGTTGCTCTGGTCCCCTTGGGGTAATTGTTTCAGAAGCCTGCAACAGCCCGGTCCAGTGATGGTGAAATTGGAAGGGGTGGTATCCTGTAATTTCTCAGACCACTGAAGCGTGCCCTGTGTGTGGGCTGAAACTCAGGCTGATTCCAAATGGAAGCATAACTTTTTGTTCCCTCTTACTGTAAGAGTCAAAGTCATTGGTCTCAATCAGCTTTAAACCTGGAGATGATAGGGGCCTGTGGGTCATTGGGCACCACCTGTGCTGTCTTTTGCATTTCAGTGAGTATCCCATTTCCTATTACGGAACATTTTGTTCGGTCACAGGCGCAGATTTTTTTGAAAATGCTGTATTAACATATGCGCACAGGTGGTTAAATCTATGTTCCAATAAGCAGAAATAGTTCTGAAGGGAAAAAAAAGAAGAAGCATATCCTACTCGACACTCCTTGCAGATGGCTTGTCTGTTAATATTAGCATAATAGCATTCTGAGCACACTTGCAGAAATTCACTTATTCATCACAGCATCGGGCCAAGCTAAATAATACCGCGGCCCTTGAGCTTTCAAGGGGCGACATGATTTCAAATATTTGAAGCAGATTCACTGTGTACAGTCTAAACAAGTGCTCAAATTAATTGCTGAATGCTAATACAAGCAGACAGCACTGCACGGTGAGATGTCATGCCCGTCATGCAGGCTTGACCACAGGAAAGCTGCGAAGCAATGGGTTATCCCTCTGATCTGGCTGGCTCAATCCTAGTCCCACATCACACCATGTAACCAGAATTCGCGGCCACAGCCTTAACGCTGTGAACTCCCTCTGATTTAAAGCCCTACTTTTCATTTTATCTTTTGTATGCGACTGACCAGCACAGCATCGCTTCAAAACATGAACCACAACTAGTTATATCAAAGTTTCATTATTCTACAGTCACCCCTTTTTTCACTGTACCACAAAACAGCCTGAACCTCATGGTGGGCTTTCTGTAAGACTGAAAGATAAGAGGGATCTGAAATAACACGCCGCAGCAAACTCGCACAGGTAATGTCTTTTTTGACTGCTGTAAGAGAAAATGCAATATAATGCATCAAAGTCACATAGATTAAAACACCCACCCACACACCCACACACACAAAAGCATAGGGCAGCCACCAAAAAGCATGCAGTGCAGCTTCTCGCTGACATGCTCCGGGCCATGCTTAATAGCGTGTTGCTTACATTATTTTAAAACTTTAAACTAGGGGCCTCTTTATTAACATGCATATTACATTATCGAGATGGTCCAGGCCACATTACTGTCATGTATGCCCATCAAAGTCCCCCATGAATTTAATTAAGCGTGTTGTCTTTAGTATGCTACGGGCTGCTCATAAAGACGTCACGTAGCGGAATACATTTCGTGCCCTTCCCCCATCTTCATCAGAACGATTCAGTAGATTTCACTACTCGACAGTGGACTGATGA